ACTGGAAGAAAAATCCATCATACAGAGGAGGGTTAAATTTAACCCGTCCAAGAAATTGAGTCAAATGAAGACAATTATGGCTCAACTTGAATGGTACAAGAAGGAAGCTAAAAGTCGGGGAATAGGATACTATGACAGCTACAAGAACATGAAGTCATTAGTGGATGAAGATGTTGTTGTATTCCATAAACAACTCAGAATTTACTGGGAAAAAATGGTGGAAGAAGCAAATATAAAGCCTCAGAAAGGAGGTGCAGCCTTTCGTAAGAGCTGGCTCTATGCTGGGACTAGTTACAGGAGAATGGTTGAACCTTTAACTATTGCTGATTATTATAAACAAGGTGGAAAAGACTATATGACTGATAGACCTAAACACTTTGTACTCTTGGAGGAGTGGTTTAGGAATGAGACAACAAAAGACAAAACAAGTAATGTAGAAGCTATTTCAAGAATACAAGATTCTCAATTTTGGGCATGTGTTGAAAAGGCTCTGCTTTCTCGCCAACACTCAGTGGTTTACGTGGAAGATAACTGGGATCTTATGAGGAGTATGAAGAACCTATTCCAACAATGTGTCCTACCTTTTGGGCACGTGTTGACCACCTTCTTCTTTCAAGCAAAGAGTTGAACCTTGTTGAAGAGAATGAAAATGGAACAGTTAAGAGCATTGATGAAGATTATTCATGCTTTGAGGCACATGTTGATGTGGCTCTTCTTTCTCGACGAGGGTCAATGGTTGTCAAAGAGAATGGAAAGAATGTAAATAGGTTTGGTGCACGTGTTGACGAGGCCCTCCTTTCCCACCAAGAATCTATGGTTTTCAGAGAGAATCTGAAGAGAAATAGAAAGATAAATGTGGAACTTATTTTAACAACTGATTCTTGCTTTTGGGCACATGTTGAAGAGGCTCTCCTTGCATGCGAAGAGTTGAAGGTTGTCCAAGAGCCAGAAATACTGATGAAATTGATTGAGTTTGAGGATTATGTCTATGGGTTGCTCCAGAATTATGAAGTGTCTCCAGATATTTTCTTGAAGCAAAGCAGCTATATGAGGTGGTGGAATGAGTATAAGGCGATTAAGGGAAGTTCATATAATTCCGAACTCACAAGCTTCATGAACGATCCTAGCAAGCGTGTGCGGTATGCTTTGGGTGCTTATCATTTCCCTGATTCCCCTGAATTGTAATAACCATCCAAGAATCAGTGTTTCGTAAATTTATAGTCAATCTTCTTTTATTTGGAAGTCTATTTTTTAACTCTTATTTTTTGTTCACAGCTGTTTATTACTGTGAGTCCCTTTGAAGCTTTGTGTCATGGTTGATGATAACTTGAGAAATTCTAAAAGAAAAGAGAGTTTATAAAACATCTAAAATCTTTTTGAGTTCATCTTTAAAAGCTTTTCTTATTAACTTTTATTTCTCCTCTGTTCTTTTACTCTTTCAAACTCTTTCATCCTTTCTTCCTCTAAATTCTAAATCAATGCCTTAATGACTTTGTATTGTGATAAATGGTCATCCTTTTTTCAAAAACTTGATTTCTCTTTTCATGTTAAAAAATTTGGTTTTATTTTATGAACCATGTAGTCGATTTTGAGTTAAATAGAAAATGTGATAATTATTTTTGAAAGTTGACATTATATATTTTTAAACTATTTTTTGATTTATTTAAAATTATTTATCATCTTAAAAAGACTTAAACTTCAAATGAATCTCTAAAGAATAGTCTTTCAATTTTGTCTTCAAAAAATATTAAAAATAGTCTTTTAATGTGTAATCTTTTATTAATTATAGTCATTCTATTAGAATATATTATTTAATCATTATAGAAATAGTGATATAATATATTAAGTGTAATATGATACACTAACGTGTGTTTAACTTTTTCAATTAAAAATGTTAAATATTTTATTTTTGTCATTCATCTGTTAATTAAAAACGTACACAACAATAAAATGTTTCTTACATGATCCATTGATATAGTTAGAGATGTATTAGCCTGTCATATTGTATTTAACGTGAAATATCATTATCTCCATAAGCATTACTAATAGATTCTAACAATAACAAATCATTAAGAATTAATTTTAATATTTTCTTCTTTCAAAGACCAAATTGAAAGATTAGCCCCTTAAAAAATTAAGATAATAATTTTTAATTATTTTCTTATTTATAAGTATATTTATTAATTAAATGATGTCACGTAAATACTTTTTTTATTTTGATGATTTTATACAATAAAAAAATGAGATTTGATAAATAAAAATATTTATGAAAAAGTTACTATTTTTTATAATTTTAAATAAATGCTTTTTCGTAAAGGATACTTTGGAGTGTTAAACATAGTATATATAAAGAGCTACTAGGTTTTTAAAATTCAACGAGTAAAAGAGAAATAATAAAAGAATATTAAAGATAAAATGAGAAAGTACTTTTAATTACTAGTTAAAAATAAAAAGGCTACTTCAGTCTTATAACTACTTATTTCAACTATATTTTATTAAACAAAATTATTTTTGTTAATCAAGCTTTTATGAATCAACCGATGCCTTTTACTAATTGGCCGCAAAATCATTAGGCATAGCAAAAAAAAAACTTGCTTTCCTGCCAGCAACAAGAAGTTGAATGGAATTTGAAGATAAAAAAGAATACGAGAGTATAACTTCATTGAGCAAGTTTTTACCAAATCAATTAATCAATTAATCAATTCATTTTTTATGGGAGTGATTTTCATTTCTATAATTGAATAAGATATTAAGTGAAAAAATGATTATACTAACATTTCCCCTTGCTTTCTTTTGAGTTTCCTATACACTTTATCTGTTAAAATTCTCCTCCTTAATCTTTACCATCACAATAACTCGTTGCATCATAAGCTTTTAGTTCATAAACATGTCAAATCTACTCTTGATTCTGAGATTAGTTGTTTTTCGCATAAGTCAACTATTTATGAATAAAAAAACAGACTGACACGGGGTGTTGACTTTCTTACCTTACTCCATTCTATGCAATGGCATCAAACATTTAGAAACATTTTGCTCATCATTTAGACTTAACTTAATCTTTCGAGCATCATGTCTCAATCTACACTGTATGTGATAAATGAAGCATTACTCATTCCTTGTTGATTTTCATGCAATTACTTAGTTGGATTTTGTGTGCTTGTGCTTTCAGATTTTGGAGTGGAATGGAGCTAGCACCTTTTGTGACAAGCACCGGTCTTCTTCGCAGATCATGGGATGTTATTTCCTCTCGTTATGAAGCAATTGTTTCAATCAAAGGAGAAGGACTGTCGTGGAATGTTTATAAAAAACCTGATTCAGATTTGATGATCATAGCATTTGAGGCCACTTTAGATTCTTTCAACTTTCAAGCGGATTTGATTCCATCTTCTGCTCTAAGACTGGACAATTTTCATCACTTTGGTTTTCTGTGTACCAAAACCAACCCAATTTTCTCTATCAACAGCACTGCACTTTCACTCTTCTATGAAAACCATCACTCGCTTGATGAGTGGAAGAAATCTGTGGTACATATCCTTCCCCTTGTCATTGTTTTATGCCTCTTCTGATTTCTATTTGAAAAATCCTTATCTGGGCTGCACAATTTTTATTTTTTTTCTGCAAATCTAGCTTATTAATACTGTTCTGAATGGAGCTGTTTGACCTTGTAAATTAGTCATCATCGCCAAAATATCACATTGTTTAGCTATAAAATTTCTCTTTTAAAAAAAGGGAACTTAAAAGAAAAGGGAGATTTTGTTTTGATTGTAATAATAATGTCGGCATGTTGCTCTATTTATTTTGCAAATCTAGTTACCTATCCATAAGCCTCATAGTTGGGGGTGTAAATTATGGACGATATTGTTTGTGGTCTTTGTTTCAGGTTAGTTTGTAAACTACTGATTGAAAAGTACATTTTTTTGGTGGGGGAGAATTTAGAAGTTATTTCAAATATGCATATTTATATGTTTTTATTTTGAAAACACTTGCGCTTAAGCTCCACTTCTTTTCTTCTCATATTTTCTCTAACTGCTCTTGGCATATATTGTTCCTCCCAAGTAAATCTTTATATAAAAATCCTAATGCAGATTAATAGTTTCACTTCATTGATTGTAACTGGACATGGTCTTGGAGGATCAATTGCTTCTCTCTTCACTATATCACTATTAGATAGCATTCGGTTAGGAAAGAATCGCCCACTCTGCATCACCTATGGTTCACCCCTTATTGGTGACAAGAAGTTGCAACAAGCCATAGCACATAGTCCTATTTGGAATTCCTGCTTTCTACACATGTGTGTCAATCAAAGACCCACTTCCAACACTCTTCATTCCTAACCATAGCTCTTCCGCTGCTGCATTGAGTCCTCAAACTGGCGCCTACATGCCTTTTGGCACATTTCTCTCGTGTTCTGTTGTAGATTTTCTTGTTTTGAGAACCCTGACTCTATTTTGGAACTTCTCATAGCATTGGGCTCAATCCATGATCAGAATCAAGAATTTCAATTTGCTGAGTATGAAAATATAGTAGAAAATCTCAGTCATAAAGCAATTTGCAAGGACCTTACTTTTCTGGCTGAAAACAAGCCTCTTCCAACATCAAATTCAGCACTTGCAAGTAGTATCAGTTTACAGTTGCGGGCATTGGGATTGACACCACATATGCAGGTAGACGTGTATATTCTATCTCACAAACTACTACAATTATTGAATTGAGCCTTATTTATTTTTGTTATGTGCAATCAAACTAGTATCTGGTGGCCATAAAATGAATTTTTCCTAACTCCATTTCAAAAATTGACTTGGCAGAAGCAACAGAATATTGATAGCAAAATTCTGGAAGTAAATATGAAAAAACTAGAAGAAAAAGTCATCATGCAAAGGAGGGTACTGTTTAAACCGTTAAAGAACTTGGATGAAATGAAGAAAATTATGGCCCAACTTGAATGGTATAAGAAGCTAACTAAAAACCAGGGAATAGGGTACTAAGACAACTACAAAAAGATGGACACACCGTGGAGCCATGATATTATTTCGTTCCATAAACAACTCACACTTTACTGGGAAAAGATGGTCGAAGAAGCAAATATAAAGCCTCAGAAAGAAAGTGATGCCTATCGTAAGAGTTGGCTCTATGCTGGGACTAGTTACAGGAGAATGGTTGAACCCCTCACTATTGCTGAATACTATAGAGATGGTGGTAAAGACTACGTGACAAAGAATAGACCTAAACACTTTATACTATTGGAGAAGTGGTTTAGGAATGAGACAACAAAAGACAAAACAACCAATGAAGAAGCTATTTTAACAACACAAGATTCTTACTATTGGGACTGTATTGAAAAGGATCTCCTTTCTCGCCAACACTCCATGGTTTCCCTAGACATGGAAGATAACTGGGACATATTATCTTATGAGGAGAATGAAGAACCTGATTCACCAATGTATCCTAGCAGTAGGGTATTTCTTGACCACTTTCTTCTTTCAAGCAAAAAGTTGAACCTTGTTGAAGACAACGAAAATGAAACAAGTAACAACAATGATGAAGATTATCCATGCTTTGAGGCACGTGTTCATGTGGCTTTCCTTTCCCGCCAAGAATCTATGGTTGTCAAAGAGAATTTAAAGAGAAATAGAAAGATAAATGTGGAATTTATTTTAACAACTGATTCTTGCTTTTGGGCGCATGTTGAAGAGGCTCTTCTTTTATGCAAAGAATTTAAGGTTGTCCGAGAGAAGCAAGAGATAGTGAAGAAATTGATTGAGTTCGAGGATTATCTTTATGGGTTGCTCCAAAATTATGAAGTGTCGCCAGAAATTTTCTTGAAGCAAAGCAGTTGTATGCGTTGGTGGAATAAGTATAGGGCAATTAAGGGAAGTTCATATAATTCAGCGCTCACAAGTTTCATGAAGGATCCTAGTAAGCGTGTGCGGTATGCTTTGGGAGCTTATGATTTCCCTTATTTCCCTTGAATTGTAATAACCATCCCATAATGAGTTTGTTTCGTAAGTTAAATTATAAACTTCCTTTATTTGAAAGTCTATTTGTAAACTCATATTTGTTCACTGAGGTTTAATATTATCTGTCTCTTGGTGACTTTACAGTGTGCCAAATGGTCACCCCTTTCTACACAGACATGAATTCTCTCTTTCATGTTAAAAAGTTTGGTTTTATGAACGGTTATTGGATCTTGAGTTGAATAGATAATGTGATAATTATATATTATGGGTTTAAAAACCATCTTGTATGTTTGTCAGGTTCAAGTCAAATTAGTGTGTTAGATTGCTATATAAATTGCTGGGTAGCAAATATAATTGACAAAATCTTACCTTACCTTTCATTTTCTGATTGGATTCATGCAAGATGATCATCCTTGTATTGAAAATGACAGGTACAGCTTGCCCCAACATAAAATTTGGTAACTAGAGCTCTTCATGGATGGAAACTTAAATTAGTATTATATTTTTGGATTAAGATTCCTTCTTTGCAATTGATATTCTATCAACTTAAAAAAATTATTGATTGGTTCGGATGGAACTATATGGTGTCGATCATTCATATTGTACATATGTCATTTTTTTATAATTTGCAAAAACAAAAAATTATACATATTTCACTGAACTTGCATTTTTCTAATAAATATGGATTATACATTTGAATACAACCTGTTCTCAAGCTCCTAAGAAGTAATTAAGTTTGCTGACGAAAAAAAAAGTAATTAATCTCGAATGTATTTGTGGGTTGCTCATGAATTATGTACTGTCATTACTAGAGATTTTCCCAACCCACTTAAACTTGGTTAAACGAGTATAAGGCAATAAAGGGAACTTAAAATACTAAACACATGTACACTAGCAAGCTTCATAAGCAACGTTCAAAATTACTATAAAATGAAGTATTAGAGAGGTGCCACAATAAACAAGGATCTCGTTTCATTTGAACCTTTTTTGTATCCCCTTCTGGCGGGTACATTGGATTCCTTTGTAATGCTATGCATCGTGATAGTGGAAGCTTCATTTTCTTTCCCTTTGGACTAGTAAAAAAATATTCATTGTTTTCCAACCGACACGGCATAATACTACCCTTCATAATTGCACTGCCATATAAGCTCAATTAATATGTTCATACTGTTACTAGAATTTTCCTCCCATCTTCCAGTCCTAAAACAGTTTCTATTTTCCTAAGACTACATGTATACCTATATCATATTCAATGTTCAATGATCAAACTGAAAAGATCTATAAATGCAAATTAAGTAATGTAAAAAATAAACGTTGAATCACAAAATTTTCTTTAAATTTTAAAGACAACTATATTTCTAGAAATTTAAACTCAAAATCACTTATTAAATCAGAACAACCTTCAATAACAAAGTAATATAAAATAGAATATTTTCAATAACTCAATCGCTAAAGATGCTCCAAAAAGCTGTCATTTTCATCCGCTTAAAACGGCCTTACAAACCAGCTTTGCCTGCGTGAGATTCTCGGCTGGCTGTCACCCATGTCCAAAATCATACACCTTTTCATCCAGTTTTAATAAATAAAAACGATTAAATAAATAAATAAATAAAACAAAAGTTAGAGACGAATAACTATCAAAAATTATGAAAAAGATAATTCTAAATTTCTCTTAAGCTCTTAAAATAATCTTTTTTTAATTATAAAGATTTTTAAAAAATTAATTTTATTTAAACCAAATAAAATTATTATAAAGGATAAAAATTTAACTAAATACAATTTTATTTAAATTGAACAAGATAATTATAAACAGTAAAAAATTTAAATATTTAATACAGACTAAAATTCAATAAAAATTGTTAAAATAATTTCGATTTTCACAGTTACCAACTGAAAAAAAAAACGATAGCGTTGATGTCGGGCAGTGGAATTAGAGTAACATGACAGCACAGAGGGGAAAGAGGTTGTCCCCACTACAGCTGAGCTGAGCTGAGCTGAGCTGAACTTGGAAGGCGCACATCCCGTGATTTATTACGCACATGCCCGTAGTGGCGCGTGTCTCTTCGTCTTTCTCCTTCTCCTTCTGCAAAACCCACTCAAACAAAACCCTCCTTTCTTTTATCTGCTCTTCTCTTCTGACACTCACTCACTCACTCTGTCACTACAATGGCAATGTCATGTTCACTCTTCTTCTTGACGCTCTTCTTCTTCACAACACCTTCACAAGCTAGACTCACTTTGGATTTCTACAAGGACTCGTGTCCCCAATTCAGCAAGATCATCCAAGACACTGTCACATCCAAGCAGATCTCCAGCCCCACCACCGCCCCCGCCACGCTCCGCCTCTTCCTCCACGATTGTCTCCTCCCCAACGGCTGCGATGCTTCCGTTCTCCTCTCCTCCACCGCCTTCAACACCGCCGAACGCGACGCTGACATCAACCTCTCCCTCCCCGGCGACGCCTTCGACCTCGTCGTCCGCGCCAAGACCGCCCTCGAACTCGCCTGTCCCAACACCGTCTCCTGCGCCGATATCCTCTCCGCCGCCACGCGCGACCTCCTCATCATGCTTGGCGGCCCCTACTTCCCCCTCTACCTCGGCCGCCGCGACGGTCGCATCTCACGGGCGGCCTCCGTCGCCGGCCACCTCCCCAAACCCTCGATGCCAATCTCCCAAATCACCGAAATCTTCACCCAACGCGGCTTCTCCGTGGAAGAATTCGTGGCTCTCAGTGGGGCCCACACCGTCGGGTTCTCCCATTGCTCCGAATTCATCTCCGACATCAACACCAACTACACTTCTTATTCTTCCCAATATAACCCTCGTTTCGCTCAGGGGCTTCAAAGGGCTTGCGCTGATTACAAAAAGAACCCTACCTTGTCAGTGTTCAACGATGTTATGACACCTAACAAGTTCGATAACGTTTACTTCCAGAACCTTCCAAAGGGTTTGGGTGTGTTGAAATCGGATCATGGGTTGTACAATGACCCTATTACTAGACCCTTTGTTGAGAACTTTGCTAAGGATCAAAATAGGTTCTTTCAGGTCTTTGGTAAGGCAATGCAGAAGCTTAGTCTCTTGGGCGTTCAAACTGGGAGAAAGGGTGAGATCAGACGCAGGTGTGATCAGGTTAATTGATTCATTCATTCATGTTTGTCACTTGGCATTGCCGATTGAGTGAGGGTAGTGGGTGTTTTTCTTTTTCTTTTTGTTGGGGTTAAGGTTAAAGGTTAAAGGTTAAAACTTGAATTCTTTTTTTCTTTTTTAATTGTTATAGTTCTCTCTGTCTGTGCATGAATTTGATGCTTTTATTTAAGCTAAGCTCAATTATACATACATAGTTTTACTCTGTGAGATGGTGATGCGGGCAGTTGCCCTTATTGTTGTTGTCTCGGAATAGATGAGTGAGTCTGATGAGTCTCATTTTCGAGTGTTATATTATAAAATTTTAATAAAGGCTCTCATTTTTAAGAATGTTGGAACTTGGAAGCTTGTGTTTTGTGTTGGTTTTGGCCAGCAAATAAGTATTATTCATTGACATAATAGATTTGTCATGGAATTACGCTTCTTTTTTTTTATAAATATTTCTTCGGACACATGATAGGTAGTGTAGTTCCTAGTAAGTTAGAGCTTGTAATAAAATTACAAATAAATATATGAAGGACGCTTTATCAAGTTATGATCTGCGCTTAAATAATGAAAACGTAACTAGGAAAGAAAATTTGCTTAGGCAATATTAAAATGTAGCATAAGTTTTGTCCCTTCTGGGTGTCTTGGAAACAGCTTGTTTTAAAGCCAATGCACCAGCACCATGCATGTGCATACCTACATTTTACTATTATACAGCTGCATTTGTTGCGGAGTTTTTAATGCAGCTACCAGAAGCGCCGCATGCACCTTGTCCACACTCTTGTTTATGTGATTAGTGATTAATCAAAACTCAAATAATCCTTATGAATGAATAATGAATAAACAAAGGTTATCATGGTAAAGTGATTTACTGCTTTTAGGTTTCATGTTAGGTAACTACACTATTTTGTTTTGACTGAAAGTTCGGTGTGTTTGACTATTTGTTCATCTGGTGCACAATTTTTTTAAAAAAAAACTTGAATTAGATTTCGCGGTGATAGAGGAACCGAATCTAAAGAGAGACAGGTTTTGTGTTTAGTCAAATGATGAATGGGGGTACCAGGCTGGATTAAAGGGATCATAGTGTTAAACGTGGGACCTAGTATCATGGTTTCTTTTGCTTACTCCACGGGCAGGGTTGTTATCAATATTCATGACCCTTAACACCTTTATTGATTATTATAGTGACTGAAAAGAAAACTTTATTGCCAAATCCGAAACATCTCTGTGATTGTTTGATTTTAATGCACGCGGTTTGGGTTCTAGACCAATATGATTTGTCTCCCCCCTCCTAAAATAAAATCTCAAAGTATTATAAATGTAAAGGTTTTTCTTGATGAGTATCACCGAATGTGAACCATATTTACATTGGAGTATAGAATTTGAAATTTAATTGGTGTAAAAGGAATAGATATGAGTTGAATTGGCGTATATTTATTGTCCCTTTATTTTAAATTTTGATGTAATTAATTTTATATTGTTAAATTCGATCGGATTGTGTATCTAAATTAGTTTAGTTACAGATTTTATATTGAACTTTATGAGATGTAATCAAACAGGCTGTGGTATTCGTTTGGTTTTCAATCAAAATTCATTTCCTCCATCATGCATAATATACATTATTTCAAGTCTTTAGGCGATTCATTAAGGAATTAAAAAAATGTGTATATTGAAAAAGCGTTATAACATTATTCAAGTACTTCCATTATAACTTCGCTGTATTTTCAAATAAAAAAATATTTATGGAGATGTTTGTTGATAAAATCCTTAATTTATAAGCAAAGACTGAGAACTTTTATAAGATTATTTACGACGATCTATGATTGATATTTGGAGATTACAATATTCTGGGCCTGCATATCATAACTAGATATCATTGGTGACTGAAAGAGAGACTAAATTATGTGGAGTTGTATGAACTGAAATGCCAACAGCCCCCAAGAACTTAGATTATGTTTGATTTTTATTTTTTAAAAACAGTTTTTAATTTTTAAAAATAAATTGTAGTACAAATTTATACTACAATTTATTTTTAAAAACTAAAAACTGTTTTTTAAAATTAAATCAAACATGCTCTTAGTGATTATTAACCAATTTTTCATTTTTGGTCGCTAGTCATTGTATCTGCTTCATTCAGCCCCACTTGTTAACCCTCGTCCCTAGGTAAAAAATTTAACTTTTTTCATGTGGGCATATTGCATTCAAATTTGGGAAATATAAAATAAATATGCAAATATATCCAAAAGAAGAAATAAACGAGAGGCATAAAAACAATAATTTATTATTATTAATAATGTTATTTTAAAAAAAAAAAGTTCCAAAAGCTACTCCCTCATATATCTATGGAACCTCATAATATCTCAGCCATTTGAGCTTGAACCTGCTCAATTCAGCCCTCATTTGTGTCACCTACGTTTTGATATGAGCCCAGGTCTTGTTTGGCAGCATGATCTTCAATCTCATTCTGCATGTGGGCCTTTTGGTTTCTATGATGTAGCTCCATATCATTAAACCATAATGGTATATCTAGATCCAAAAGAAAAAAAAAATGGCATGATTGTATGTTATAAGAATTATGATGCTACTTAATACTCGATTGCAATTATTATATTTTTAGAGAACATAATACTAATAGTTGATACTGGATCATGACCTTGTTGAACACCTATGAAGTGAAAGAAAATGAAGTGAGAAAGGAATAAGAGTAAAACGAGTGTAGTAAGGAAAAGGTGATACAAATGGCGAGTCATGTGACTCTAGTGAGCATAATTGTGGGACATGAATCCCCTTAAGATTATTGTCACTAGCAATGGCGATTCCATTGGAGCTAATTAACTTTTGTCGAGCTGAAACACACAAGAAAGACAACGATTTCACGGAAAATTCTCTTGTAATGGAGGAACCAGAACCATACATTTCCTTGGATATTACTAGATTGCTCTTTTAAGTTTTACATTAAAAAACAACAAAATTATGGTCACAAGAATGCGTATTCAGATAATATACTTGGAATACGTTGAAAATGAAAGGACTATAATGTGAGCTTAAGTTATATTAAGATACAAAAGTTTTGAGTGCAAAAGTAGAGAAAAAAAAGGAAAGGCAAGAGCCAAAAAGGGAACATAACCAGCTATAGTGTGTGGTTGAAGGAATAAAGTGGTAGCATAAGCATATACACAAACGCTCCCTCCGCACTTTCTGCTCCAAAAATCATCGACTTTATTAGTCTTTCTCTTCATTTATTCAATCACCTTTCTTTGTTTCCCTACACAATTCATTTTCACCTGAAAAATCATTTCTATTTCCACCCTCAAAACAAGACATTCACCAATTCTCCATCCAACATAAAAGATCAGAAAACAATGTGAAAAAAAAAATGACATCATAATCAGAACCCTAATCACAGCATTGTCTTTAAAAAAAACCCAAAATCCAATAATTACATTAAAAAAACAAAAAATTGAGCTGTACTCAAAACTCGGCCGAGTTAGCACTTGACTCGTCGAACCCACTCCCGAGTCGAGTCCGAGTTCGACAACCCAGCCCCGAGTCAAGCAACTCTTCCCAGTCCACATCCTCTTCCTCCACCTCCTTAGCCCTCATAATCTCCAATATCTTCCTCACTTTATGCTTACCCCTCTCACTCCCTACTTTCTCCACCTTTTGCAGAACCTCCACCGCCCCCGCCGCCTTCGCCACCGCCTTAAACCTCAACCCGCCGTGACTCAGCGCGTACAAAACCGCCACGCAACTATCCCGAGTCGACCTGGTCCCCAACTCGGTCCCACCCAACAGCCCCACCAAACACTCCACCGCACCCGCATCCAACATCGCAGCCCGCCCTTCCGACCCGGAACCCAAGTTGCCCAGAATCAAAAGAACTCGACCCATCATATGACCCGATTTGACCATATTTAAAAGAACCGGAACCGACCCGAGTTTAACCATCTTGGCCCGGTTACTCTGCACCAAAGAAAGATGATAAAGCGCCAAAGCCGAGTCATGCCGAGTTCGCTCGCTCTCGGATCGGAGCGTGTTAAGCAACGGCGAAAGAGCACCCAAAACCCCAATTGCGGTTTTGTTATCATCTTCAAGTGCCAAACTGAAGAGTGCACCAGAAGCGTGTTCCTGCGCCTCAGAGGATCCAAACTTCAAAACCTCGATCAACGGTGGAACGATCCCTGACCGCACGATCTTCACTTTGTTGTTCTTCTCCAACGAAAGGTTGACCACAGAGGCAAGAGCGTTGACCTGAACGTTGGTGTATTTTGAAACAACGAGGGAACGTAGAGCAGAGAGTAACCGAGTGGTGCAGAGTTGAACCCTTGTTTCTTCTCTCGTTCTCGTCAGCTTTCTGAGCGAAACGAGTGCTTCTTCGATCACGAAAACTTGAGGGTTTTTTAGTTTGGCCATGATCTCTTCTTCTTCTGGGGTTGTGGCGGTTTCGATTTCTGAAGAGGAAGGTGAAGAGTAGCAGCAACTGGGACGCGTGGAGAGCTGAAGAGGTGGGGTTGAGGCTGAGGTTGTGGCTATGGATTCCTCGGAGCTAGTGTACAAGTGCGTGGGTCTACGAGGGACTTCAGTTTGCGCGTGGTGGAGAAGGTTGGGTTTTGGGTTTTTGTTAACTCCTCGAATTAAGTCTTTGTCTGTGACGGGGTTGCTGTTTTGTAGGGTTGGGTTCGAGGAGATTAAGGTGCGTACGAGGTTGGGGTTGGAGGAATGGTGGGGTGGGGGTGTTGAGGTGGTTTTGCACCATTTGACTATGGCGGATTTGAGGGCGAGGTTGGGGATTACGGTGGAGAAATCTGGGGTGGTGCCATCGGAGAGTTGAGGGGTAAAGTTGAGATTTTTACATGCTTCCACGGAAGAACGTTCGAAGGAATGGCCTGAAGAGACAATGACTGGGTCTGCCATGAGTGTACCTGCAATGGGGCAGAGGAACTCTTCAGGTTGGTTTTGGTTTTGAGTTTGGGTTTTGGTTTTGGTTTTGGTTTTGGTGTGGAAGAAGATCTTCTTCCATTTCGGCTTCGGAGTGCTTATTATTGGTTCTGATTCTTTTGCTCCTTTGTGTGATGGCCATTTCTTGTGGACCATGACCTTCACGCTTTGTTGAATCTCCATAGGGTGGTTTTTGTTTCTTGCTTCTGCCCCTCTCAATAAAGTCGGTTGCTTTTGCTATGCTCAAGTGTGAAGAACAAGTTCTTCTTCGGAGGGTTGTTGAGAGTGAGGAATGAAGATTCCATCGTTGGAACTTTGAATATCGGAGATTTAGTTTGTTAGGGAGGTGTCATCAGAAGTCCAATAACATCGGGTTTTTGTTAGTTTTGGTTTACTAGATTCCTAAAACTAAGGGTGGGTTCGGTGGTGTATGTACATGTTTGAAGTGAGTGGAAAAGAAAGGGAGAGAATGCTTGTATGATGACAATGATGATTTGGTGGTGTTGATGCAGTGGTGAGTTTTGATTCCTTTGCTTTTGGAAAATCTGCCCAATTGGAAAGGGAAAGTTGAGGAAGCGAGTGAGTGATGATGCTAAACGTTAAACCTAATTGCATGAGTTTGTCGATTTAACCAATGATAACTAAGTTATGTTTCCCAATTTCCTTTTATCTCCCCAAAATCACTGTGCTTATTTTAATTTATCTCCTACTTTTCGGATTTATTGAATTTGAATCTGTCCCAATCACTAGTTTTATCAGTTATCACTGATTAGAGGAGATCATCTTTCTGCAAACATTTTCCCGATTTCACCTAATAATGCATAAGGTTATTAATATGATGCGTGAAAATATCTGGGCAGTTCATGATGAGTTCAGATATAAACAAGTTGTTGTTATGCTGATATTGTTTATTATGAAGCATGAGAACATTTTGAGATTAATTTTGGATTCATTAAAAATATTTTTACAATGTATTTAAATATTTGTTATCATATGACTAAAATTTAAATGAGTGCAACTGAATGAAGCAATAACAACACATACCAAATTAAAATTAAGTCTCAATATTTGTTTTTTTTAATATAATCTGATATAAACAATATAATTTTCTGATAAAATGTTTCAAATTAATTAAAATGATTTTGAAAAGAGTCATATTATATAATCAAGTTGTTATATATATATATAACGTATTATATGACATATAAAACATTAGGGGATTAAAATATCTATAAATTACTACTAAAGTATTGAAACTTTTTCTTAAAAAAGAAAAAAACTGAAACATTAAAATCTCACAAGAAATTATCAGTAGTCAAAATACTACGTATTTTACCATTTTTACACATAAGCCTGGGCATTGTAGAGACAAACCGATGAAATATACCTGATTATAGAATAGTAGTTTTTTTTTAAAAAAAGCATTTGTTATTTTTCCATTGATTTTTATTTTTCTTTACTTCAAATAAGTCCTTTCGAAATCCTTATTTATTTCTATATAATTCATGTTACTTTTTATTAGTTTATGTAACATTAAACAACTTATATAATAAAAAAAAACTTAACTTATATAATATAGCATTGAATAAATATAGATAGCAATGTAATATTTACACATTTGCTACATTTGTATTCTCAAATTTTAATCTTAAAAATCTTAATCTTATTACTTAAATGTTTATTTAAAAAATATGAAAGTATTGCTTACGATATATTCTGCCCATATTATATTTTAGTGATCAACTTAAATACTACGTGAGTAAATAACAAAGAGTGTTAACAAATAACTAAAAAAAATCATGAACTTTTAGAGAAAGAAAACTTTATTTAAACCTAATATTTAGTCTCTGTGACTGTGAGCATTAATTTTGATTTTTGTACAGTTGTGTCTGAAATAATTACTCATTGCCCACGCGTAGCAGATTGATATTTGTATGTTACCATTTTCTGTAAAATGTCAGAGTATGTAAAAGGGAAAAAGAAGAACGCCAGAAAAAAAACGCAGCTTCCAAATTGGTCCATCATTTGATGTCAACGTTACCACAGATGCGTCCAAGCATATAGAACATGACTCCTTTGAATGTTACCACTTACCAGCTTTATAAGGTTAATAAAAACATTGCCCTTTTCCACATTTTTGGACTATCAAATTCAAAGCAATGCCTCAATCGTTTATAATGCCAATAATCACAATTTTCATAAGATATATACACTAACCCGTTTATTTGAGTTACAAATGTTAACCAAGTTATAGATAACAACCATTTTCTAAATTCTTTTGTTGACTCCTCTTCATAAATTTATGTATCGTCTAGTAATTGAAGACGATTTTCATACTGGTTAATGACATGTTTCCATGATCAGTTACACCGAACAAAAGAGAACTGGAAAAGGCATTAATGATTTGGAAGAACCCTGAAATCTCAATGATCAAAACTCAAAATTTAAGGATCAGTGAATAAATTATGGGCAATTAGGTAGCATTACACTAGGGAGGAAGCCCCACTTTATGTGAGGACAGTGCCACATATTCCTTTAAGGTAAGCCCTCAATCAGCATAAAAAGGTTAAATAAAAAGGATGTTCTTTTCTAGCTTCCCAATACCCACTTTGCAATTTAAGCTCATTTTATATACAAATATATATTCTGTGGACAAAAACACCAAATGGTATCTTAGCACAGAATGCTTTGCATGGAGAAGGTTGTGTTTTCCAATTAAGTCACCCATTGAAGGCACAATTTGGTATCATTATTGAAATCTTAATAGCTAAGTCTACGTCGCACTAAGCACCCTGATATGGACCTTTATGAGTGTAATAGGCTGGACTTACATCTATATCTCTCTTTGCAAAAAGTGATTGATTCCTTTTGCATTTTCCTGGCCCACCTCCACAGACCACATTGTTCTTTTACCTTTCTCTTTACATTATGTTATATGCTTAATTAAATCTTACATCTTTAAAAAAATTGTATGATTTGAATTTATTTTTTATAAATTATTTTATTAAAGTTAGTCCTTATTTTTTTACAAATTATTGTTCTTAATCTCTTAATACATAACAGTATTTCAAAGGAACCCATCAGCAAGAAAAAGTAAAAACAATAGTTTCAGAGTCTTGCATTTTTTTTTCTTAAGTAAATTCATAATTGTGTTCCAAATTACCTTAAACTTCTGTCTTACTTCACCTTTACAATCTAGAAGACAATATAAGAAGATTTTATTTATTGGGTGGATCCACACGCCACGTGATAAACTTAATAATTCGTATTTAAATTAAAATAAGTCTTCTATGAGTCCCACTAGCTCCTTCTTTTATTATTATTATTATTATTATTACTACTGTTGTTTTTTATTGTGTGAACTTTTCTCATATACGTAGGTGGAGGGTCAATTGCATTAATGGATGGAAATTTTATTTTCACTGCACAAAACCTTATCCATTAAAATTATACTGTTTTATTATAAAATATAATGAAAAGTTTGAAAAGAAAATGTACTGCTCTTTCAAATCAAAACTGGAACTAGTTATTTTTATATTATACACTATTTTAGTGGGTATTTAGTGGGATTTATTTTTCAATTTTTTTTACAGTTTTTGAGAAAATATTTTTAAAATGATTATTTTTTAAAATCATTAGTTATATGTTTCGTTTTAGGTAGAGTTATACAGAAGTATTAATTTTGAATTTTCATTTTCTTGAGAATGACTTCTTTTAATTTTTCTTTTTATACATATCATGTTGTTTTTTGTTACATCATGTAATTTTTCTCAAACACTGTTACTTAAATTTATTAAATTCTAACTTGAATTAGAATTTTGACATGTCATATTAAATTAATATGAGTCTTGACTCACACGATTTACTTTCATAATTTTTTAAATTATAAGCGTGTTTTCTTTAGTTTATTCTTATTTAATAAAATATAATTCAAATTATCAATAAAAAGGCATTTTATTATATTCTCTTCTTGTTTAAGATGGGTTATCTTATCATTATTCAATCATGAATATTTTTTCCTATATTAAAAATCATGCTGTTTTGTTAGTAAACATAAAATTCAAGAGAGTATTTGAGTTTATTTTAATTTCAGTGGAGGTCTAATAGTTAATATGACGAGGAAGATCGGTTATGCTATAAAACAAATACAAAGTGTATGCTGAGATTATCCGAAGATTAAGATTTTTCTGTCTTTCGTTTTGTTTTCTTGTAAACATGAGGAATGAAGTGTTTTCTGAAGAAAAAAAATTATATAATCTAATATGATCTGAATTTTCTTGTTGTATTGGATTTCATAATTGTTTCCTCGCATTATTGCCAATGGTTTGTGGGGTTATTGTTTCCATGAATAAGCACAAATTAACCTTATTCATATTATTCATGAATGTATGTGGGGTTATTGTTTGCAAAAGATCTATGGGCATCAACAAATTTGACTTAGCTATGTGCTGTCTATTATATACTTTAATTCTCTTAAACTTTACAAGAATAAAAAGAAAGTTCTACTTTAAACATTTTCAATTTATGACCTTTTTTGTTTAGTAATAGTCAACATTCCCTGTGTAATAATGCATATTATGTGTTGAGATTTAGGATCCAATAGAGGTGGGTGTAGAGATCTATGCTTGTAAAAGAATGCTTTTTTTTTTCCCACATGCTACATATTTTGTGGTCATTAGAGACTATTCTTAAGTGAAAAGCTTGATTTCCATTCAATTTTTACATTTTTCCTTGCATATTGGGTCGTTAATTAAGGTTTCTGAGAATCATTCAGTAGTCTCATCCTCATGATAGTTTATTTACATGTTTTGTTGTATAAGAGTAATGTTATATTTTCTTTCAACATTTTTTTTTATTAATTTGTCTAATATTTATAAAAATGTTGAATGAAAAAATAAATATATTAAAGATCTAGAAAGTATAAAAAAAAAAATCAATACTTTAGTTATTTAATAAGCAGATGGATTAATTATAAACAACAAAACTCTTCCTCCTTAATTGAGAGTAATGTCTACCACATTAAAAACTAAATATTAAAATGTGCATCTTAAATCAAACTCTTGCAAAACTAACTGAAACTTATCTTGGTGGATGCACCTTTTTCAGGTCACTCGAGCACCATATATAGCAGAGACACCATCATGCAATCATGAATGTAGAACTACCAGTCGTTGATTATGGCCTCCAATGGAAGCCCTGCATGTCTCCACCATCAACCACTGCACATGGAAGAAGAAGAAAAAGGACATAAGAACGTGCAGAATAAAAGAGGAACATATGAGTAAAGAGAGGAGAGGAAAAAGCTATCATTAAGAGACCATAATAGAAGATTAATGACACTGACGATAAGTTTGAAGGATCAAAATCCAACATGTACATTTTAATTAGTTGGTCACAAAGTGGGACAGAAAAATTTTATACCGATAAAATCTAATGTAAATCACAAAAATAAAACTAAAAAGTTGAAAACCAAACAAATAAAAAGCAAAAAAAATTGAAAAATAAAAAAATATCATTTTTTTAGTTATTGGATTTGATTTTATATCTAGTTTTTAAACTAATTCAATCTATCATAAAATAAGATTTATTAATCTAATTCAAATTTAATAAAGTTGAAAATTTAATAAAATATATATTTTTTTTATAAAAGATCAAAAGCTTGAAACAAATTCACTCTATCCAATTTTCAAAAGCATAAATTTGAAAATTTGTATAAAATATCATAAAATAAGATTTATTAATCTAATTCAAAATATTTTTAATCAAATCATATTGATTTAGATTTGATGTTGTATTTTAAATGATCTAAACTAAAGTGCAGTATATTTTTATAGTCAAACGGAAGACCTTTTTTTATTAAAAATAATTTAAATTGAAGGATAAAAAGTCCCTATAACTAACTTGCTAGTTAGATTTATCTCAATTTTTTTTATTTTTTTAAAAATATATTTGAAAAAATATATGTAAGTTTTCTATAAAAGGTTGAAATCTAAAACAAGTTTCAAAATTTCTTTTCAGAGAAGATTAAAAAAAAAGGTATAGAACAAACTAATCATAATCCATAGATTCACTTTTTTTTATTATTATTTAAACAAACCAACCCTTTAATCAAATTAGAATTACTGAATTCGGGTCTATTGTAGGATACAAAGATAATGGCCCAACCCTGAATATCATACACATTCATGTTTGAAATGCTGAAGTCTTGAGAGGGTTGATCTCCAAGAATCCTGAATATAAAAAAATAAAAAACAAAGTGTGAATACAAAATTTAATAACGATAATATCATAACCAACATATCTAAAAATTAGTAAAATATTATTCAAACAAAAAAAAACTAAATATTTTTTAATTTTTACTCTTATTTTTTAATTTAAATTTTTTTATCAATAATAGTTGTATAACTAATGAAAATGTTATTATTATTTTTCTACATTACATATTTTTTTTTATTAAAGATAATCTTATTTGAGTTAGATAAAAGAATTATCAACGGTAAAACCTTTTTTTTTAGTATTTTAACACAGCTCTAGCTCTTCCTCCCATGTATTCAATTTTTTTATTGAGATAAAAATAATAAATGTTAAAAATCAAAATAAATTGATTTTTTAATAAAAATAGATTTTCGTAAAAATTAAAAAAGTAATAAATAAAAAAGATTGCGCGTAGCCGGCCAGAATGGAGTCAGAATTGGCGCATGAACGGGTCTGGAATCTTCTTTTGTCTTAGGCTCCAAGCCATTGCCAAACCTATAAATACACGCATTCTTTTCTTCTCTTCTTCCTATTCAATTCATATTTATCTTCTTTCGTTCTTTCACACAACTCAGAATCCTAATCAATCCATGGCATCAGGTGCAACAGAAGCTTTTCCAGATTTGGGTAAACACTGCCAGCACCTCCATTGTAACCAACTCGATTTCCTTCCTTTCACCTGCGACGGTTGCAAGCAGGTACTTTTTATTCTCTGTCGTTCCACATCTTTCCTGTGTTTTCATATTCCTAGGATTAATTTGAAGCATTTCATTCTTCTGCACTTTAAATTTCGCGCGTGATCAAAATTTAATCATTGTATATTCACTAATTACGGACCTAAGATTCTTTTAAGAATATTAATTCATATGTTAATCGAAATTCATGATTAATCGGTAACGAGAGGCGTAATATTTTAGGTGTAGAATTAGAATAGCATAGGAGATTAACCTTATGTTCGATTTGACGTTTAGAGCCTCTGACTCATGTTTCAAAACCTCAAATATGATTTTCTAAAACAATTTTGGTTGTGTTTGGACCAGTTTCATTTTACTTTCAAAACACAGGGTATAGATTAGATATGCAAAATAAGTAAGTAGAATTATATTTTGTCAGATTAATAGATTAGAAAATATTTTCTAAACGCTTGTCAAGACTGAGACACTAGAGAGATAAAAGAAGAAGAAGAAGAAGAAGAAAAGTGATAAATAGACGAGTAATGTGAAGTGAGAAGGAATGAAAGATGGACAAAGAGATAAAAAGTGTTAATTGAGTACTGATAGTGTTAAGGAGTCCACAAATTAGAATTGTGATAATTTTGTATTAGTTTTTATATAAATTTGCTTTCGACATGAGATTATGAATTGCTTTATTTTAAATGTATTTTTAAATAAAAATTTTAGGATATCAAGTTAATTTATAAACGATAATGCATTAACATAGCTGCAAATGCAGGTGTTTTGTTTGGAACACAGATCCTACAAGTCACACGCGTGCCCAAAATCCGACCACAACAGCAGAAAAGTGATTGTCTGTGAAACATGTTCCATGTCCATCGAGACAACCGGCCACGTGGGACAAGACGAGGAAGCAATCTTGGAGAGGCATCACAACTCTGGAAACTGTGACCCCAACAAGAAGAAGAAACCCCTTTGCCCCGTAAAGCGATGCAAGGAGGTTTTATCGTTTTCTAATACCAGTACTTGTAAAACTTGCCATGTGAAGGTGTGCCTCAAGCACCGTTTCCCTAGTGATCATTCTTGTAGCAGAGGAGCTTCAGCTTCCTCTTCTTCTGCTGTTGCTAATGGGCGGTGGAATAATCGGTTCTTGGCCTCTTTGGCTTCAAGGAGAGGACAAGACTGTGCTAAGAATGCACCTCGTTCTACTTCTCCTCCTAGTACTCCGTCTGTTAAGGCCTATTGATTGCTATTTGCTTAATGGGTGGGTATCCATGTTCTTCAGTGGTTTGGGGGCAATGAATGATGGTACTAATTTGATGTGCAATTTGAATGTTGAAATTTACATTGCATTCATGAAGTACGATGTTCGAATGTTGGGATCTGTTTTTTTTATTAGAACATGTGTCGTAGCTCACATCAATGTTCCCATGTAAAAAAATACCCGTTTATAGACACAAATACTGATTAAGATTTCCTTGCCATGCAAACTCTTGGGTGTTCTCAATCTTTCTTTATGGTTTAGTTTCTTTACGTAAAACTTGGTTTTCTTGATCATTTAGTGGTGAAACTAGTTAAAAACACATCTGAATTTTTTGGCATCAGCGGCCAAAAAATGGAATGATGTTGAGTGAGACTTGTAATACAGCATAGGATAGGAACACGATAACAAAAATCAGATGTTATTTTCGGTAAATACAAATATATTACCTACGTATCGTTACACCTTTCTTTTACTTGTATTCCCAAAGATACAGCCTAGAACAACTAACAAGCAACTTGATACACAGTAACCTATGTGTTACATATTGGCTGTTGCTTCTTTAATTTCATCCAAGGTGATGGCCTGCAAGTCAAGAAAATGTTGCATTTAATTCAAGATGAGGTAGTATTATATTGTGATCAAAATATGCATGTTAAACGGAGCGAAACCATAGCATGCAATTGAATTAAAAAATTACCTGTTCCTTGCCAGCAAAATCGTTATCAGGAGTGAGAAATAGCATGCAGTGGCATTCCTTCCTACCAAACAAAATCACGAGGAGTTGAAGTTTAAAAAAATGTTTTTTTCTCATCCACATTTCTTGGTAAAACAAAAACAAAATGTATAGTATAACTCATTAACAGTCAAAGTTACACCGCCTCTGACAAAAATATGCACTAAGAAAGGCAGTTAGATTTCAAACCTGATAACAATGTCTCCACAACAGTTTTTGGCCCATTTTATTATGAACTACTTCTTGAATAAATGGGTATTAAGAAGTTAAATAAGATGTACGTCTATAATGTTCAATGTGATAAAGTCATTTTATGCATAAATATACAATCGTAATTCTAAAATAAGAGAAAAAGAAAAATCACCACATAAACAAGGTTAAACAAAAATTTCATACTGGAAAAAGACATTAAACATACTCCAAGAACACAAGGGTCTAGTGGTTTATATTATGTATAATACGTAAACTTCTCTAAAGGTAAAGACTTCTTGCATTATAACCATTAACCAGTGTATAACATCTGCCCATAATGATATATGAAACAGCACAAATGCAATCCTAAAGAAAACTGATTTAAAACAAAGATATGCTTGTATTGAAATAAAGCTTGGTCATTACAATAGAAGTAGCTTGCAACATGATATCCTGAGATCAAACCAGATATGCCTACCTCTCTCTCATGGGAACACATGGGCAATTCCAAAATCCTTGTGCAGCCTCAGCAGCTTTATCATCGTAATGCCTAAAATTCAATGATTTTGGGCTTAGACTTGAAAAGTTAGACATCAATACCAATCAAACTATGCAGCCACATTGCCAGAACTATAGTATGAAGACAAAAAAATCTGCTTGACAACAAGTTAAAAAAAGAACAAGTATCTACCGGCAAGGGCACAGTGGTGCACCCAACGTATCTTTATGGTCAGCCAACCCCTGTTCCAAAAGAGAAATAATATAAGGAAGAAATCTTAATTAATCAAGATGACCACCTCCAAGTGTGTTTATGGTCAGTTTTATGCACATACATACACAAGGGTGTTTATTTTCATCTGTCATCTTCTGAATTAAAGTATGTGTTGTATATGAACCACAGAGGCACAGACACTTCTTTTGTCTGAAGTGTTGCGGTGTCGAACATGTTTCTAACACCGTTACTTCCTAAACACTTGTACAAACCTGTCGAATACTTTTGATTAAGTGTCTAATTGAAAAAAAAAAATATCTTGAACGCTTGAGTTGACACTTCAGTATAGATAGACAAATAAATATTATTAAAAAAATAATTTTTTAAGGTTTATAAAAGTTAGGTAAAAATATAATGTAAAATTGAAAATACAGTTGATGTTGAATCAAAGTGATAAACTTGGTATTACATTATAGAAACTCCAAAATTCGTAGGAATCCCTCTGCGTTACAGTAATATAGAAGGTAAAAAAAACACACAGAAAGGTAGACAAGGGTCCCAAATGTGGACAGAACTCCTATCCTCCTCCCAATTCACTTGGAAACTGCCTAATTCCCTCTTACTCCACAGCCCACCCCATATTTATCTCCGATTTTGGTGATAATACCAGAACTATTCTCCTCTTCAATCAATTCAAGACAGCTTGCCTGTCAATTAACAAACTCAACAGTTTTTTCACAACCATGCAGACCAGTCCACCACCAATTCCCTCATTTCCTCTCGCCTCTACATGCAGCCAGTCTGCTCCTTTCAGTCATCCCTCTCTATTGAGGAACACCCATGTTGTTTTTTCCTCCTACTATAAACTTGGGCTAAGGTGTGTAACTAAGAAAAGATAAAAAGCAAAGGCATCTTGTAAACCTAAAAATATAAACACCCTAGAAAATCTTGATTTAAAACAGGTAATCATGAGCATCTAAGAGAATATGGTGAGGTTGACTTTCTGAAGTATACTACATCAGAAAAACCTAATAACTAAGATCAACCTTTGGCTAATCAAACAAGATAAGATGGACACCTCCCAGCATTTTCATCAGAAGAAATTTTAAGTATCCATAACCTCTAAATTACCAAATGTTTGAAATTGGACACATTAGAGAACTTTTTGGGCTTGAATCCTAATAATAAGAGCATGACGAGAAAAACTAGTATTCATTAGCAATTTCCAGCTTCTCTAACAAGATGATGGGGTCCTGGTTTATCAACAAAAGAAATTTAAAAACCACAACCCCGACAAAAGTAAGTTAGCCAGTTTCGAAAATGAGAAGGTGGCTGGCAGAGTAAAAACAAAAACCTGCAATTATTTTAAAAGAATTTCATAGTAATATAAAGAATTGGATTGCTTAATAAAGATACAAGGAAATTTGGGGGAAAAACTAATGGCAGGAAAATATTCCAGCACAATATAGAGTACCAAAAATGAATTCAACAGTCAATTTTATAAAAGTATATAAGGAAATTCAAGGAGAGACGAGCCCTTTAAAAATTTCAAATAGTTAATCTTAATTTACATTGAAATGCAACAATGTCAACAACAACAAATTTCCCATGACTTTCACTTCCTACAAAACTGCATAACTTCCTGACATTGCAGGACTTACTGCCTCATGATTCATATCATCAACTAAAAGTGTATGAAACGGATATTTTTATTTGGCAATGCCCTCTACTCAAACTAGAAGTGAAACTATCTATAACATATATTAATAAAAAAAGTTATTTATGTGTCAAAATAGAAAGAATGTACCTTAATAACAACAGAAGTGACTCCCTTGTCAACACAAAAATATGTTCCTGACTTACGAGCGTATTGCTCTGAGAACTTCCTCATAATTTCAACTGATTTATCTGAAGGTTCCGCTGAAAGAACAAGAAAATTATTTCTATTTAAACGCAATGCTAACAAATCACCAAAATTGGAAACACAACCATTGCAAAATTAGGCCACAGAAAACTGATAATCCAATAAAAATAAAATAAATAAACAAATTAAAGATGGGGGGTCATGATTTCCAAAACTTCTTTAAAAAAGAAAAAGAAGGAAACTAATTTATTAATATTGTAAACGTTTCCACAGTCTACACACATGCAATGCATGTGCATCTGACAACATTTTATTTTTCCTGTTCCAAGTTCCGTCAAAAGGCAAAAAGTTTTCAAATTTGACAAACACGAAGCTCGACATCAAAACACAATTCACGAGTCACAAGATTAATTGCAGTAACATAAGATTAAAAAAGAAAATAGAAACTCCGAATTTCATGGCACAGTCAGAGAGCATTTCCACAAACACCTTCTGGATGACACAGTAACAAAACTACACACAGAGACATACACAAAAGAGAACAACTGGGGAACAGTAACACCCAATTGGGGCGTTGGAAATCGCATCCGAACCAATTAGGAAAGAAGAAAATAGGAACGAAGTTTACCTTGAGCCCGAACGAGGGGGAGATTGCGGCGGCGCCGGAAAGGGGTGGCGACGGAGGGAATGGCGACGGCGAAGGTGGAAGCTTGAGAGGTCATTGCCGGAGATTTCGCTGAGCAATGAAAGGGAACAAATGGTTTGTGTGTGGTTCCCAGATTGTGTGAGAATGTCCAAAACAAATAACATCTCTTCTCTGCGTTTTATATGCTTTTATTTTAATTTTATTTTTATTTTTTGTTAAGTTTATGTTGTGGTCTATGGTCGCTGATTTTCTAACCAGTACGAAAATCAAAAGAAAAAGGAATAAATTTGGAGTTATCATTTCAGGATCAAATATGCTTTTAAAAATATAATTAAACAAAAAATTTGAATCTTACAAAAGGAATTGTTTGATATTACTTTATGATAACATAATATATACTGAATTATATTGTAAGTGTAATATAAAAAAAATTACACTGTTTATATAATTATTATTAAGGAATAATAAAGGTTGGAGGGAAGGAAGTGGTGATTAAAATATCCACATGGCTCTTGATTGAGCCTTTATCCTTTAGCTGAGTGTTGAGTATTGAAGTTGAAGTTTGTAGTTACAAGTTCCAACCATCTTTCTTTCAACTATTGGCTACCTCTCTTCATCTTCTTATCCAAACACCACCTCGTCGATTGCAATCACAGACACAGCGAAAATGCATGTAATCCCTACACGTGCTTTTACATTAATCAAACAACCAATTTTTTGATAATTTGATATGTTCAAGGTTAAATTGCATACTCTGTTTCTGATTTAAAATGTTTTTTTAATTATTTCTTAACCATTATAACTATAAAGTTACTCTAAGATATCTTTTAAAAACTAAATTTGTTAAAATATTATTTATTATAAGCTATCTTTTAGTAATTTATTTGAGTTTTTTTACACGAATTTAAACTAGTTTGTTTAAATTTTTCTTAATACGTGTTATTACAATATTATATTACATACAATCATTAATTATTGTTATATTCTTTCTTGAATAATTACTTATTCCTCACAATATTTTTATTTATGCAAATTTTACTCTTTCTTTATATTCTTTTAAAGCACAATATTTACTTGTCATATAAAATAACTGTATATGACAGTATAATAAAATTTATTTTTCTTTACTTTAACAATGCAACTTCTAGCATTGTATAAAATTAATTTCAAATAATTAAACTTAAAAAGTGTAATATTAGAATATCTTCAATTTTAATTTTCAACCTATGATATTATCATTACTTAATTAAAATAAGTATTTGAATCAATCAATGAATATATACCACAATAAATACTGTAATGCGCTAATACCAATTTCCCGTATACCTTTGTGCCCACCATATAGTTTTAGCCTTTCATAGGAGAATTTTGTTCTCTAATTTCATTTCTTAAAACACGATGCCAATTGCCAGAGTCTATTAGATATATTTGAGAATATATACCCTTACTAATCTCATGCTTAGACAATTTTTTGTTTTGTCAACACTACACAATCCTATTTATAGTAACACCTTTTTTCAAAAAATATTTTACATAGTCATCTATTTTAAATTTAAAATCATTAATTAAGTGTGTGTTTTAGAAAAATTAATTTTTAAAAACAATTACTTATTTTGGGAAATTTTCATAAAAATAGTTAATTAATTTTGTAAAACATGCACTTAATTGATAAACCTCTTCCATATACTAGTTGAAGTTGTAAATTGGCTAAGCTTTGCTATGTTTTCCTTTCATCACCATGCAGAAGTTCTTTGTATAAAGATTATACACTACGTCATTTTTAGATATTTTAAAATATCACTTATAAAGTGAAAAAATATAATTACTTTTTAATTTTTATTTGAAAAATAATTTTATGTATAACTATTTTTTAAAGTGACTTTAGAAAGTAATTGTAATATAATTATTTTTTAATATTCACTTACAAAGTAGTTATGTGTATAATTATTCTTTAATATTTACTTACAAAATAGTTTCGTGTATAACTATTCTTTAAAATCACTTTATACAGTAATTATATACAAACTATTTTTATAAAATAAAATTTTAAAATACATCCTAAAAGCTTTTAACTTAAAAATAACACACAAAAATGAGTTTTCACTCAACTCAGTTAAAAGAATGATATTCATTGATGCATGAAGACTAGTGTTTAATGTGATGAAGGAGTAACAAGGCTATAAAGTTGTGTCAAGCATAGTGATGATGAATTTGGATTGAGACATTAATTATTCTAGCATAAGAATACTTGAAAAACTGTTAATAGCTACTCTCTAATCCAACTTTATATAATTACAATTGTTAGAGCGATTTTAACTCTTCTCCAACATGGGCTATTCCATTTCAACAACTTTCTGTACTGAAATGTTTGCATGTTTGCAAGACTAGTTTCTTTTTGCTTGTTTATGATGATAAGGTGTCAATTAAGCATCAATGCCTTGGCTGGGCATTTCAATTCAAAAACTTTTGGTCAGATATTGGATAGTCCACTGCGTGTGCTTTTGGACATTGGCAGCTCACATGATTCTCTTCACACTGAGAAGGCTACCGAGTTAGGTTACACAGTTCTTCAATGATGGTGAGAGTATCAATATATAGTCTATAAAATGTGAGGAATATCAATGAAATGAAGGAAGGAAGTGTCTTATCTCTCAAATCTCTTTTCTGGAGGACTGCTACCGGAAATTGCTATGAAATGTAATAATAAAATATAAGGTTTCACAATTATTCAATGCTCCTTAACTTATCTTAGCAACACTTTTTTTTAATTTTAATAACTGTGAAACCTTTTGTAAGTCGGTTTAAAATTTATTAAATATTATCATAAATATGATTTTTTAATGAATTTATAATAAAAATTAATAATTTTTAATATTGTGAAAATTAATAAATAAATGATAGTATACATCTTTATATATTTGAATTTTTTTTTAAAAAAATAAATACACATTTAGATATCCCAATCCAATCAAAACACACTAGTTTAAGACAAAGCAATGAGATATTCTGTCAAAATTTCGAACAGATTTAGTGTAAAAGCAGTAGATCATTAACCATCAAGATCAAGATTAACGATGGAGTCCAGCTATAACAAGAAAATTTCTTGCAGTTTTTCGGAAATTCGTGGCTAATTTTATTTTCTTTTCATACCTTGGACATTTTAGTGCTGTTGAATCCTATTTTATTTTAGGTTCCATTTTCATCAACTTCCCCTTAACTATAAATTTTATTAAAATGTGTGTACTTCGTTTAAAGGTGCGATAAATAATTTTGAAATGGTAACCTAAACGGGAGACACGTATAAATCAAAGCTTTGACTAGAATGAACAATTGAAAAATATCAACAGCGATCTGATCTTTTTTTTAGTAAACAGCGCTATGATTGTTATTCCAAAACTGACAAAATTAATATGTCTTGTAGTTCTTGGTGTATCTGGTTAATTCAAAATATTAGTTGTACGAGATTATTATGTTTGAAAAAGCTACTACATATTATTATTATTAGACGTGGCTTAAAGCTGTTTTCTTTTACATAAGATAGATAAAATGGTAAAATTTTAATTCAGATAAAAGAATAGCATCAATATGTATACTGTTGGACTTGAATTTTGGCCACATATAAACTGATCTCCTTAGGCATAGAGAATTTACTAGTAATTGCTCTTCTTGATTAGTGAAAGAAGTTATTATATATCTTCATGCACCGTGGAAAAACGCTATAGCTATAAGTCAAAAGAATGTCTATGGAATCACGCGTTAGCACGCGTTTATTTTCGACTCTTTAGTGTGAACGTTCGTAGACTGAGAGTGGGATACTCAAGGAATCATGCAGTGTTTGTGGCGGGTAAATGATAATAATAAAAGTAATAATAATAATAATAAGGAAAATACATTTAGTATATTTTGTTTTATATTTTATTTAGTTAAAATGTTATATAAATATTAACAAAGAGGAAATTAAAGGATCATTTCACAGTCAAATATCACTTGTAGGAAAAGAGAAACCAAAAAAAAAAAAATCAAATATAATAGGTAAAGTGATGAAAAGAAGAGATCGAGAGATGTAAGATGCATGAAAGTAAAAATCTCAGGATGCGAAAAGGTTAAGACTATGTATTGAGTTCTCAAGGAATTCCAAATATAACTAAGAAAACTATTCATGATGATCAACCACTTTCCCATTCCATATTAGAATTAATTATCTGAACGAACTTGAAAGCCAAAGGAAATCATGAGGGATCATTCAAGCAGTAGATCTCATTATGAAGCATCCAATACATATTTTTTTTAATATTACAAGTTTTTTCAACAAAATGAAATTAAAAGAGTAGAAGGGTATCTAAACTCGTACATATATACATATATAGATCATTCAAAAATAAGTATTCAGATACATTAACTACAATGAAAATTATATTATATAATTTACAAACCCGCATAAGATATCATTTTTGTGTGTTTGATATAATCCAAAGAAGAACAAACAAGAAGTCATCAAGTAAACTGGTTTGTTTGTGTTATCAGTCAAAATATATATCAAAGATCTTCATATTAATACCTTCTAACCAATATTTTAACTTGCACGCGCAGGTCTTTCAGTGTTAAATCCTTTCAAATTTGACAAATATTGATCAAGAATAAAGAAAACCAAAGAGAGGAGAAAACACAATCAAACACAGAAAAAAAATTGTAAGCATGCTCTTGCTACAGTGCAGGATTCGAGTACCTTATAGTATTCCTCGCAGAAATCCAATAGTTCATTGTGAAAATGCTTCGAATGCGTGCAGATAGATGGGTTCTACTTTTCCAGAACCTCCACAACATATATATACCTTTCATCTGGACTGATTTTATATTTTGCAAATTATACCTACGAGTAAAAGACATATATATATATATATATATATATAAAATCAGTCCAGATGAAAGGAGAAAAACTGTAACCATGACCACAACCTATATAGATCTAACAGAAAATTATAAGAAAATATTGCACAAGCTTAAAACTTGATGGGATCAACATATGTGAATCATTTAATCTAAACACAAAGACATACAGAAAAGAAGAGAGATTCATACAAAGAAGCTGAGAAGTTTTCACAAATAATCTCTTAAATATAACAACACGCACATAGAAACATAAGATAACAAGCTTGCAAAGTTTCACTT